CGATAGGAAAATTGGGCAGTTAGTATACTTTTGTTTCTCATAAGTAACACAAATGTGAAATAAACCAATGAATTAGCACTCATGCATGATATAGAGGACAAAATATTAAGTGCTTGGAATACCAAGGTTAAACTAAGCTTATGAAGACCCATAGGACAAAAAAATGCCTAAGAACACAGTCACTAGTAGGTAGTGAAATCAGAAAACTACCTGTAGGTTAGTTTATGGGAATTTTTTTATTATTAAGATAGTTGATTGATTATACAAGCTCAACATGAGCCAGCAATGTGCACCTGCAGACCAGAAAGCCAACCATATCCTGCCCTACAACAAAAGAAGCATAACCAGCAGGTTAAGAGGGGTGATTATCCCCATCTACCTTACTCTGGTGATGTACTCCAGACATCACCTGGAGAACTGCATTTAGCTCTCAGGCCCCCAACATAAGGATGTGGACCTGTTGAAGAGAGTCCAGAGGTGAGCCACAAAGATGGTCTGAGGGCTGGAACACCTTTCCAATGGAGACAGGCTGAGAGATTAGGGGTTATTGAGCCTGGAGAAGAGAAGGCTTGCTCTCTTACATATTCAAGTCCCTTCCTTCCAGGCTGAGAGGAGAGGCAAGACTGGTTTCATGAAGAGGTATTACCTCACGAAGAGGTAGCTTATTCATTGTCTAAGACACTGGTCTCCATGTAGGGTACATGTAGCCCAAGGGGGGCACAACACAATCAATTGGAGTGCAGGAAGAAAATACTTTTTGTACTACTAATAAATACAATTTTTAAGAATTAAAATTGTGTTTATTTCATCTTTATTTCATCCTTTTTTGATTTCTGTAGTTGGGTAAGTTTTACGCTGTACTTAATGTATTAGTACAGTGGTACGTCTATGTAATTTATAAATAAATATACATCTATTGATGGTGCATGCTGAAAAATATTTTACTGATTATTTAAAATTAGAAAATACATATAATGCTTGAAAATTCATCCACAGACCCAGACATTCAGTTTGGCTGAACTTAACCTGTTGTCACTCATGATTTTAGGAAAATACAGGAGCACCTACACCTCATTCCACCAAACTATAGGTGTAGCTTAACTAGCCTTCATGCTATACTAATTTAAATGCTCTTGACCAACCTGCGTAGAAAACTGAATTTCTGTTTAACACACCATTAATCCAAAAGTCTGAAATAAACCATTCAAGGCACTTTACAGAATGTGTTGGCTCATCACAGGACTTCCATTTTACTGTATAACGCAGAGGAGAACAAAAGGTCAAAATACACACATTTGAAAACTCTGACCACAAGAAAAGGCCCTTCTTTTTCCCCAGTATGTGACATTCTCTAGGCTAACTTTTGGCTTCATTTTCATTATCTCGGAATAAGTAGTTTCTGAGAAGGATCAAAACCACACGTAACCTGAGAAAAATGCATTTGCTTTAAAAAAGGACTAGAAATCTAATGGGAAGAATTACTACTGTATAACTTCCAGTCCAATTTAACAGATACAGGTGGCTTGGGTCATTCTTACACACATTAGCTTAGCCTTCAATTTCAGATGCTTTATATTAAGTTACTCTTAGGATGTGAGGATATATTCTTAGCTCAGTTTAAATCAGTGGGAATTTTGCCACAGACTCCAAGGGGCCCTTACCTTCTACAATTTTGCCTTAATAATATATCAGTGTTTGCCAAAAAATGCATCTTGATTTATTTCCAAATTATTGCTAAAAAATATTTGGCTTAACATGTAATGGGTTCAAATTTTCAGGTGGTATAAATCAGCACAGCTGCAGAACTATGCCAATTTAATCCACCTGAGGATGTACCAGTGGGTTTATCCTATTTAACATCATTTATAGTAGTAAAGTAATTGTTTTAAAATCTTCCTGGTTTTACACAGTAGGCAGTTAAAGCAGTTTCACCCAGGGCTACCGCATTTTTCTGCATATAAGTTGCAAAACAAGCAAACCCATTCATTCAAAAATGTATTATTCCTTGAAAGTAAGTATACAATTAACCTACATTTTTATAAAGTCCTGGAACCACTCAGAAATCAGATGTTGTATTTAAATTCAGACAACAGAAATGCAAACATACCTTTGCACCACTGCTTACAACAGAAAAGCTAACAGTGGTTCATTTCTACTAAAAAGTTGATTTGTATTAGCCATTTCTGCAATTTTACCTGTTACTTGCTGACAACTAGCCACACCTATCCAAGATATGATTTAAATTTCCTTTTTTCAAAAAGCTACATAAAAACTCCTCTCAATTTCACTTGAGGCAATGTTTGTATGATAAGAGAGAAATCTGCCAGTTGAGGTCTCGTGCATTTCATAGAGTAGCTGAGAGAAAGAAAAAGAAAAAACACCTTAACACAACTGCAACTGTGAAGTAATCTCTTCCCCCCTCTTAATTCCATAGGTATGTTCTTACTCTATGCTGCTGCAGGGTAGAAGAGAAAGGTTTTTCTAGCTAACCCATTTTAATAACCCAAGTATTTATGAAACATTAGGAAATGGTGGTATTTGCCTTATTTTAAAGTCAAATATTAAGCAACATAAGATATGGGAGAGCCAATCCATGTCATATATAATAATTTATATCAGCTCACATTGCTTCAGTTGGTTTTGGACTAAAGTTCACAGAATGCAAAACACCACAAACTAGAAAGACAAAACGAAAAGACCTAACTTCATGAAAATTAATTTATCAGGTAGGAGTTTACCACACAGAAAGTTCTTATTAATTGTTACACGGGCAAAGTATCTTGATTATGGATAAAAACAATACATTTACTACTGTACTGTAAAAAAGCACTACCAGCTTGGATGAGAAATAGAAAACTAAAATCCTGCACTTGCCATTCCTCCCAGCTAGCAAATTCTTCTTCAAAATTTCTGGCAAAACGTGTGATCAGCAAGTGATATCTTTTAGGGCAAAACTTTTTTCTTCAGCTTCTGCTCTGCTATACTCTGAGAGTTCTTTTCACTCAGAACAAACACACATGAAATAAAATAATTATCCATGTCTGTGACTATGCAAGTGTTGTTTGAAATAAATGGTTGAAGATGGACAACTTTTCATTTGCTTTCACGGAGTAAGGACTGTAAAATACTTCCCAAACTGTCCCTGAAATACCTGCTAACTTTCCTGAAGTTACAACAGCAGCAACTTCAGTAAGCAAGACTGACTGATGAAAGGATGGATAAAAATCATCAACCTGACTCTCAAGAGAGAGTGTATTTACCACTAATTCGCATATCCAAGGAGTTATGTGGCACATGCTGAACCCTGTGAGCAGATAAACAGCAAAACTACAAGTCAGATATGCTCCATTCCTTTTTTGTGATGGAAGAGAAATGGAGACAGAGCTGTAAAAGTCATGATCCAAAGTGAATTTTTAGTGTAAAACAGCTTTTCATCTCTTAGTATATACATGTTCAGTATCTTAAGTCACAAGCCATAATGCAGAGTGAGTACCTCACTCATTCAACCATGTCTCCCACTGTCTCTTTCACAACGTAATCAATATCTACCTAAATAACTAACCAGATTTTCTGCCCCATTACTAGTCCTTTAGAAAGCTGTTGTCTCACTGTTTTAATAGTTGGAAACCACTTTACAGCTCCCAGGTGAAATTCATTTGGGGTAGGTAATACCTATTTTTATTGTGCCAAAATTGTCATGGAGCAAAATAATTTCTCTTCCTCACGGTCTCAGGAGAACAATATCACCCCTGAACCTCATGTTGTTTGTTCAAATGATGCAAATGCTATCTGCCTTCTCTTGGAAGGTAGCTGTTTAGCCTGATACATTAGTGCTAACTAACTTTTCCTGTATGTCCATTTTCCTGGAAAATGATGACCAGAATTGTACCCACAGCTTTACATAAAATCCAGAAAAAATAATAGGGCTATCTAAAAATGTTGAATTAATGTTTCTTTGTCTGCCTTGTCTGTCCTGTTCCTTCCAATTTTTACATTTACACTTCCCATTTTTACAGCCACAGTAATTGGGCAGTTTACAGTTGATCCTATGACCGACTTATTTTTATGTAGAACACAAAATATAATTATATATGGTATTAAGAACATATAATTAATATTTCTAACTTCTTTTTTATTATGCCTTGTATTAAATTCATTTCATGACAGGCAGTATTAATGTGTGCTTCATTCAGTATGCATTTCAACACTGATGGGCATGTTTAGTTAGAATTATTGTCTAGATGTTTCTCTGGGTGGCTAAACTGAAATATTTTTCATGGCACACAACATCTGCCTACATTATTTTCTTGTTCTGGTTCTTTACAATAGCTGACAGTGGTTCATAATTGCCTCATAACGTGCAATATCACTAAACCTGTTACATCTCAAGTTATTCAAACGTATTAAAAGGCCATTTCAGAAATGTAGCGAGTCTACTGACTTTGTATAACTTAACTATCCAAAGATAAGATCTCCCACATGCTTATAAAAAGTGTGAAAAAAAAGAGAAAAATCTAATAAACACCAAGGTTTGTTCCTGCAACAGAAAACAATAAAATAATATCATTCTGAGCTAACCTCATAAGGTTACTCTTGGAAAATAGTAAGTAGGTGATACATTTTTTAGACTGATTTGAAGACAAAGGTCAGCTTCCCATGGATTTTACTAGAACAAGGTTTATGAAGTACAGGCCAAGTTATTCTGGGCATATTTGCTGACTTTTCTGGTATGACAAACAAGAAGGAATAAATCCAGTAAGTAAATGTGACCGCCTTGAAACTACTGAGAAAAATGAACCTTACTTTCTCTGACAACATCTCAAGACCCATATTTACATACACTCTCCCAGAGGCAAAGACTTCATTCATTGGCAAATCAATATAGCAGTATCTAAAAGATACATTATTTTGATATAGGGTAAGAAATTGCTTTCTAATTTAATGCAGTGAATAAACAAAGCATTGGAACGCATGAAACCGAACTTATCTATTTTACTGACCTTGAAGCTGACGCCCTTTGTACAAATCCTTTGTTTTGGTTGGGTGAGCTCTGGCACCATTATCACACTTAGGTTGTTCGTACCTAAAGAACAAACAAGGAGAGAATAAAACCAGTCTACGTTCTTTCATATTTTATATAACTGTTTAACTTTGAAATTCTCCTGTTCTACAGTTCCCCAAAATGACACTTACTGAGTAGCATACTAAAATGCCTTATTAAAAGATACTAATACAAATTTTTGTAACAAAATATTATTTTTAAAAGCATTAAATGGTGGCTATGTCCTGGGTCCAGGCCAGACTTCCCATAAGAAAAATACCTGAGTAATCTGACCATAATTACCAGCCAGAATGAAAATAAAACTTTTTTTTTTCCCTTTGAGTGCTTAATTTATTTTCACACCATCTAATGAAACTGCCCACTAGTACACCAAATTTTGGCCACAGCAATAATGGATAGTGTTGTTTCATGGACATGGGAGAGCTGCAGGCACTTTTTTCTCCTAAAGAATGGTAGGAACAGAAGCTGCTTTGATAGCATGGGTTGGATTAAGATACCTGATGGATGACCACTTCAATCACCCAAGAAAAGAGTGAAAGAGAAATCTCTAAGCAATACTTACTAATGCATTATCTGGCAACCAGCCTGGTCCCCAATTAATCTGATACCTGAGTCTGCATCTCCTTTCATCCTATTCCGTTACTGTTACTGCTCTCTACCCACGCTTCCTTTTTTTGGCCTCTACTTCCTTTTTGGCTTATATTTCTGTTGTATATACATGTAGTTCATCACATGCAAACTAAATATATTAAAGTCCAATAGGTGTTAAAATGCTATAATGTGAAAAGTCCATATTTAACTCTTTAAAGCAACTGAAGAAAGACAAAATGAATCATTAGAAATTTACCACACAGGCACAGTCAGTCTAAGAACTGATAAGAAAAACACACTTGCCTCAGTTTTCATGGGAAAAAGGTGGGAAATGGATAACATCTCAGAATGGAGCACTGTCAAGTTAAAAATAATGTATTCAAAAGACTAAGTTACTCTTTTGAATTTTAAAGGGGAAAGAATCCCTAGCATGTATACCTAAACTCATTGAGAGCTTATGGAGTCTGCTTTATATCTCTAAGCAGTCTGTTGGGAAGCACTGAGTTTTACTGAGGTGGAGGAAGGACGATTTTCACAGGAATTCTACAGTGGAGGGAGCTTCATGAAGCAGCTAATTTATGCTCTTTTTTAAAAGAACGTAAGAATCATCCTCACGAATGTATTTAAAACGAATAACATGAAAAGTGCTAAACTGTTTAAGCGAAAACTTCACAGACCTGTCTATCCTTTCACTGTTGTCCCCTAGAGATTTAATTCAGATTTGTGGAACAGAGATTTCAGGATGTAATGCATCCATCTTGCTACCAGAAGTACTAATGTTACCAGTTCCTGCAGTAGAATTTTAGCAGATACTCTTCTAATTTGTATTTTGCAGTGGAAAGCTGGAAGAAAGCATACACCATTTTGCATGAGCCCCTGGTTCTTTAAACCACGAAAGGCATCCATGTTCATCCTTTCCATTCTATAAGAAAAAATTCAAAAATGACAACTGCATATTTCTCATCATTTTCTGATCCCCTATTACTTCCCCCTGCTAGGGGGCAGAAAGTTTAATTTTATCAATGTAGACTTAAAAAAAAAAAATCAAGAAATAATTAATGGGATTCCAGCCCACCTAAGTGTTTCCCAGAAATGAGGTCTAGACAGCCCTTTCAAACTCCAGGCAGTAATTCCACCTGCTTTTTTACCAGGACTGTAGATTCCTAAATACACCAGTCACTCTTTATTTAGTATGAAACTCATAAAATCAAGTACTCTGCTAACCCATCTGTGTTCAGAAATGTCCTCTCTGGGGATATTACAAAATATTACTTCCTCAGAGCTCCATTGAGGAATCCCCGTAAGTCCAGCAAGTCTGAACAAACTAGAAATGCTCAAGACCACAGCAGCTGATCTTTTAAGTATTAGTCACCAGGCAGAGCACTCACCAAGCAAGAGGAATATTTGTGTCTAAATCCTATATGTGAGATTGAATCCAGTCTGACAGCCTTCTAACTTTGGAGACATGCAGCACAGTGAAAGAACTCCCTGTCACCTCTTCTCTCACAGCTGAGTTACTGTGTAGTTCACAGATTCACGTACAGCAGACCAAAGAGAACAAAAAGAAGATGGAGATTGATTCTAGACGCGTAGGAGATGCATCAAGGTGTTGGGAAGACCTAGAATTCCAGTCACTGTGAACTAGAAGCCAAAGCAATCAGACACTGTCTCTGATTACATTCTCATAGACAAATTGATGAAGTATGGGTTAAATAAATGAACAGCGAGTTGTGTTGAAAACTAGTTGAACTGCCAGACTCAGAGAGTTGTGATCAGCAGTAAAAATTCCAGCTGGAAGCCAATCACCAGTAGAGTGCCTCAGACTTCAATACTATAGCCAATATTGTTTAACCTCTTCATTAATCACCAGAATGCTGGGACAGAAAACAACTTCAGCAAGTTTGCTGATGATACAAAATGGGAAGGAGTGGCTGGTACACCAGAGGGTGTGCTGCCATCCAGAGGGACCTCAACAGACTGGAAAAATGGACTGGCAGGATTCTCATGAAGTTCAAGAAAAGGCAAAATCAGAATTTTCTCACATGGGGAAGATTAACCCCTTGCATCAGCCAGGGCAAGAGGTAACAGGCTGTAACGCAATTTTGCAGCAAGGGTTTTGGATTTCTGATGGGCACTAAGCTGAGTCTGAGGCAACAATGTGCCCTTGCAGCAAGGAAAGCCAACAGCCTCCTGGGCTGCATTAGGTAGAGTATTGCCAGCAGGTCAAGGGAGGTGATCCTTCCCTTCTTTTTCACACTGGTGGAGCTGTATCCACCTCTGAGCTCCCCAAACAAGAGGGACATGGACATACTGGAGTGGGTCTAGCAAAAGTCCATGAATATGATTAAGGGACTGGAGCATTTAACAGTCCCATGAACTGGGACTGTTCACCCTGGGGAAGAGAAGACTCAGAGAGGATCTTACTGATATCTCTAAATATCCAAAGAGGGAAAATAAAGAAAATGCAATCAGACACTTCTCGGTGATGTTCAGCTACAGGAAAAGAGGCAATGGGCACAAAATGAAATACAGAAAATGTCATTTAAACATAAGGAAAAACTTTCTTTTTAACAGTGATGGTGATCAAATGCTAGAAAAGGATGCACAGAGAGGCTGGGGACTCTCCATCCTTGGAGATATTCAAAGCCCAGCTGGATATGGTCTTGAGCAATCTGCTCTAGCTGACCTTGCATTGAGTAGAGCAGTTGGACTAGAGAATCTCCAGAGATCCCTGGCAATCTCAACTAAATCTATATTGGTGATTCAATAATGAAATGATACTCATAAAGAAGAAGAAGAACAACAACAACAAAGCAGAAGTCCTATTGCTTGATGAGCACAAGAAGATGACTTGGACTCAAATTAGAGGACAGGAACCAAGGCTCCATAAAAGGATTTAAACAATAATTCAAAGAAGGATTTGCACTAAAACCAAGAAACAGTGAACAAACCTAGGGGTGGGGAACAGAGGAAGGGCAAGAAAGGGAGCCTCTGAAATCTCTTAAGGATATTTCTAGGCCCTCACACAAGATGTGAGTTTCAGGACCAAATCTGGACTATTTTTTATTGACAGTTTATGGTTCTCAACTTGCCAGAAACAGTGGATCAACAGTAACAGTAAGTCATGCTCACTTCAGCTGGTACTGTAATCAGCATGTTTTAGACTGTGGTATAAACAGTTATCAGTAAACAAGCACTTAAAAAATAGGCAAAAACCACTCCCCAAGTATATAATACTTTACAGCAAGTGGCTTATAATGTTTTTTCACAAACCTTATGCAAATGATAAAAAATTATTTTGGCTTAAGCTTGAAAAGATTTAAGATTGTATCAAGATACCCATACTGCCCACCAGCTTTATATGCGTTTCTATCTCATTCTTTCAAGGGCCAAACCTCAAAAACCAGCCTAAATAACATCTTTTGGAACCTGATACTTGTCTTGCCTACATCTGATCTCTGTGGCTAACAACACTTTACCATGTATCCGGCTTAGCTGAGACAACTGAACTCCAAGCTTCTATTAATAACACACTAAAATGTTATTTCCTCTCCATGGGTTCCCAAGCAGTTGTTCCACCAAGACTAGTCATACGAAATAGTTGAGGACATTGCTGGAAAAAATAAATGAACATTTTTGAAGTTGGACGTGGTTTCTGTCATAGACCATCTTACTTGGTTCTTCTATATTCAAGCTAAGGAATGTGAGGTTTCCTCTGGGCTTATTCATTATCTGCTCCAAGCCTTGGCTTCCCAGCACGAAATAGAAAGTAAAAAAGAGGCCTGAGGGAGCAAACTGCCTATGACATTGCAGCAAAACTGTCTTTGGCCGTCTGGCTTTAACTTCATGGCTTGTACAAATATTTCACTTCATGTTCATAGTGGAAGAAACCTATATGGTATAATTCCATCAGCAACAGAAATCTACATGCAAGTACATGCACTCTAAGGCATCTTTTCACTACATCTTTTGAGCACTGAACATGTATTCCCTTACCTTGTTGATGTACCTGGGATGGGACGTCCTGTATCCACCAGAACACACCAGCAGTAGCCTGTGGAAGGATGGCACTGCACTGGTTTGTAAAGGCCACCCTGAGCACACTCTGGAATGAACACATTGTCTTTCTGGGGCTGTTTAGCTTCCTCCAGGGCTGACTGAAGTTCTTGATCACATGATGAAGCTTTTGGAAGGAAAAGAAAAAATACTGAAGAAGCTATACGGAAAGGGTCTACTAGATTTATCATATGTTTTTTACGTCTTCGTTTGGTTGTATATAAGGATTGTATTTGAAGAGGCTTGCTACAGCTCAAAGACCAGTTACATTGGTTTATACTGTATGCTGTTAGGAACTTCAGTTTCCTTTTCATGCAGCTGCTTTGTAATATAGTCCTAATTTTTCTTTCGTATACTAGATATAATCTAGTATCCTTTTCCTGCCACCCTTAAAAATCTCTTCACCTACTCCACGGTCTCTAAACTACTGATTCTTTTCAGAGAGAACAGTAAAAATCCAACTTCTTGGGATTCCTTATTGGAATTATTCATCTAGATATTCATTTAGATGTTTATATTCTGCTCTTTCTTTTTAGTTTTGGAACAAACTCTTAATAAGAGTGAAAATTTGTCTACCTTCTTTTCTGGTGACTCTGGTATTGGTGATCTATCGTTTGCTTTGGAGACCAAAGTAATAGATTTTTATCTCTGCTTTAACAGTATGTCCTCTTCTGGATGTGAGAAAAGTTTACATGTCTACACATTCCTAGCCTTTATGCGAAATTATGAACCAGGAAGCAAAGAGCAGAAAACCCAGGGCCTGAGAATGCCAGTCAGTTCACAGATATCAGTAAAAAAAAAAAAAAAAACCAAAAACAAACAAACAAACAAAAAAACCAAAACACAAAACAAACCAAAAAAACACCTCTGCTGAGGATTTTTGATGACTACTAAGCTGGTATATGTGGCACTGCAGAAATAATAAATGAGACAGACTATTTAATCGAGTCATTATTTCTCCAGGAACTTCAAAGTCAGTCTCCTGTCACATGAAATTTAGTTAGTTAATAAAACAGCTTCTGTATAATTCTCAAACTAATTCAGTGAACAAAAATTAAATATTTGAAAAAGAAGAATGTTGATAACCATAAGCATTCTGCAAACACACAAATTACTGACATGACAATTTCAAGTTACTAGAACTTCAATCAACAAAAGATCCTCTCAGTTAAAGAAAAGTGATTTTAATGTTACAAAAAAATTTCTGTGGGTGATACTTGCTCTTTCAAGTCTGTTAAAGACTAGTAACACACTTATTCTCTGAATCTCTATCAGTATTTACTTCTTGATTTTTCACAGTTCAACCCACAGAAGAACATGTTGAATTCTGATTGGATTTTCTAGTGTATTTGCGATGTTTCAGCTTCAGTCTAATCTCATTTACTCTTATCCACAGGGTTCAGAAAATGCTTTGCAGGTTCTAAGCAAAAACTGACAGAAAGCCACCCTTTATGTCCAGAATGACACTGTTCCTTGCCAGCTGCTTGCCAATGCAGATGACCAAAATCAGTAAGACTTTGATTGCAGGAGAAAAGGTGGCTCCTAGTTTATTTAACTAGACCTTCTAGTTAAACACCTTCGTACTTCAAACTGCACACAATTCCATCTATACAATGGTGTGGTTTCCAAAATACTGTGTTTTCTTTCAATCCATGTAAAAGGTTTAGAAACAAGTATATGGCTTGTTAACTTCATTACAAGGCACCGATGGAGTGGGGTTTTTTCAGTTGTTTGATTTCCCTCCCCCCTCTTTTATTTCATACAGTATTTGAGCAGGACAGCTAGATAAACATTGATTTTTCATGTTTTTGTCTTAGTCTACCCACTGACATAATCAGATCTTGAATAGCTTTCAAAGCATCAGTGTTTAGATAATAAACTGTACTTAGAGAATCAAGTCTCCTTTAAAAAAGGAAAATGGCTAACTATTTGCATGTTAAAACATTCACAGAAATAGCTAAGGTTTTACAAATTAGAAATCCATCACCATCATCTTTTTAGAGCAGCCAAAATAAATCTTTCCCTCAGTGCATCTGGATTATCATGATTACCAAGTTACAAGGTACGACAACCCTGGAAAACACATCACTTAGCCTAGTTGTTCATTTTTTATGTTTTGTATATGATCAAGCAAAAAGGAGCAAATGGGGTGAAGCAGCTGCAGTGAGAGGAAAGAAATCATTACTCCTCTTTAAACTCTCCTAAATTCTTTTCTCATTCATACTGATAAACCTTGGGACCGTTCCATTAGCTGCTGTGACTTTCTCTCATTTTACATCCTTGCAACTAGCAATATAATCTGGCAGATGTGCAGGTATTATTATCTCTCGCAAACCCAGAGGAGCGATGGATTTTCAAGCTTTCAGCTTTCTTTAGAAAATGCATTGGTGTATAGAGACTACACAGTTAGGTCATCCAGACCGACAAAATCTAACATCACAGAAGGGGTGTGATGGAGAATTCCTGGTACAGAAGCAGCTATGGACTGTTTCAGCTGTGAGCATAAGCTACACCACCCAATTTCTAGGCAGCTCTATTTTCCATTGATTGAAACAACCAGCAAAGGACTGCACAGCTGGCTCAAAACCACTGGAGTCATGGCCAGTACAGTCACCTGTGCTTTAGGAGCAGGTGTTACAGACCCAGAAAAATGATCTTTACTCCCCTGAGCAACTTGTCAAGGCAAGGTTTTCTACAAGCTGCTGCTCAAGCTAGAAATTTGCCTCTTGGGCACTAGGTCAAGTTTGTTCTGGTCCTTTTTCTCCCCAGTGTCTGGTTTTAAGTCTCAGAGGTGCAGAGACACAGTATTATGGGAGAGATGTCAAAGGAAGGTTGCAAAACTGACTTATGGCTTTAGGAAGAACAGTCCAAAGACTGGTGGAATTTAAGTTGCAAGTGAGAATGGAAACGGGACAGCTAGTGACAGTAATCAAAGGAAGGTTTAAACATTATAAGGAATGTTCTTAATAGCAAAAGTATGGAAAATAGACAGAAAAACAGGATTCATACCAAACTCTAAGATAAAAGTTTTGTAACTGGGAGTACTTTAATGAGGAAAAAAAATCTGTCTTTGAAGAGCAACCATCAGCACAGACATTTGAGTAAAAAAACCACACCAAAAAAAAGAAAATAAAAAAAAACCCACAGATATAAAAGAAACCATGGTATTTTCATGGAACCTTTAATTTCTTACTGTTCCCCTACAGATGGGAAATTATAACAAGATGAAGAGCTTATTATTAGTTCTAAATTAGTTGCCAGGTAAAATGCAGATTATATTTGACAAATTAGAAAAAATATAAATCAGCATGATTAATCAAGTTAATTTACATGAACAGTAAAATGCCTCAATAGTAGTAGGATATAACACTTACTATGAAGTCTTATATCACAAGCTTATAATTTATTATAAATAAATCCTTATTTATTAAATACTCCATTTATTCATCTCTGATGGCTAACTTAAACTGTTAATTAATGTTTACTAGGGGATGTTCCAGAGGCAAAAAGAGGTGGCTTTTCTGTAAAACTCATCCTGAACAAACTGTGTAACAGTGTGTCTGTCTGTAGCATACCACAAACACCAAGCACCATATTATGTAAGTTATTATAATCATCTTGTAATAAGAGATGTTATAGCCCCTTGTTTCAGAAATTCTGGCAATTGTTGTGCTGTGTCTTAGCACAGCTTCTCCCAACGTGTGGAATTTTCATGTTTACAAAAAACGTATTTTCTTTTCTTAAATGCGAATCACTGTATTTATGTCTAAACTTCAGTGTGCTCTGCAGAAACAAGTTACCAAATCTGTAGAAAATTACAAAGGCGTCTGTATGTTACTTTAACATTTCCTGTCACTATACAAACATTTCCTTTCAATTTCCTCAACCCCACAATGTGTATATGACAAACAGAACCCATTCCAAGATACTCTGTTTTCAGTTGGTTCCCTCTCCCTCCTTTTCTCATTACCATAATGGGCCATGAAAGGACAATTTATACAGCCTGGTTTCCACAGTAAAGGGACCTTTTATTAGGTCTTGAAGCTCAATGTCCTTTATAGAAAGCAGGTAACAAGAAACTTGTGAACAAAAATACTCCGAAAAGTGATACGCATGCTCTGGAAGAGTGCAGTGTAACGTTAGAGACAGTTAATAATGCAGTTCTCCCATGTTTCTGAGAGCATACACAGAGAGAATATACTCACATCCAAATTTCAGTATAAAGGGACTTAATTGTATGACCATTTCTGCTAATTAAAATGCTATGCAAATCATCTGCCTGACCTAGTTAATTAGGCCTAATTTAGGTACTGCTTAAGAACACTTCAAATATTGATTTACAATTTACAGTAAGTTCTGTGCTAGTTTATTGCAGAACCATAATAATTAGGATCGATAAATAGTCATCCCACTGTCACCCATGAAACACTCCAACAAATTCTCATCTCACAGGGATAAGCATTTGATCCATTTGCTTAGGATGAACCCTCCTTGAACCAGTGAAGTTAATAGGCCCTGAGGAAACTGATTTCAATGTGGTTTTATATTTTCAACTAGTTTTCATAGTCTTCATATTTTATTGAATGGATTTACACTTCGCTACACCAAATTGTATTTCCACACGACTGAAATGTTCACTTCAAAAAGGCAGTGGGAGGTGGCATGATTTCTACTGAAGCTCTGCTCCCCCTGAGGAAGAATTTACACTGACTAGATGGGAAAATGATCCACTACAGCAGTGACCCTGTTCTTTCTAACTCCAGCACACATGTACCTTAAAGGTAAACTAGCAGGTTCTTTACCTGTCACTGATCAATTTCATCACCCAGAATCCATCATGTCTGTTCCTGCTATAAATGCAGCATCCAAGGAAACATGTTAGCTAATATGAATGAAAAAATCCTCAAATTATTTCATTCTAGTGAAGGAGAAGTGTAACTAAACAGCTTCATACTCTTTCAGAGTTTCCAGCCTACATTTAGACCTTCTCTAGCATGACAGATTCCTTCTCTGAAGACATAGATGAGGTGGTATAATGCGGTTTAAGATACCAACCTCATACACTTTACGAACACAAAATTATTTTCTCATCCCTTAAGGCCAGATTATGGGCATCTCACACTAATC